ACCTATTACAACTTCTTTTGTTAAAACACACACATAAGCGCAACTTCCTAGAAGGAAGAATAATGAAGAAGCCTCTCAGCCGGCCAGTGGTGGCGCACGCCTTTAATCCCAGCACTCGGGAGGCAGGGGCAGGTGGATATCTGTGAGTTCGAGGCCAGCCTGGTCTCCAAAGCGAGTTCCAGGAAAGGCGCAAAAGCTACACCGAGAAACCCTGTCTCGAAAAACAAAAAACAAAACAAAACAAGACAAAACAAAACAAAACAAAAAAAAAAGAAGAAGAAGCTTCTCTCGGGTAACATGCAAGGGAATTTCAACAAATACTTGATTAAGCACTTTAAAATATCGAATCCTCCCATTCAGAACTATAAAGATCACTGGTTTCAATATACTAATGTGGTCATAAAAGAACTTTGGCTGTCAGGCAGAAAGCGACGGCAGGGCGGCTTTGCCACATTGACTCAAGTGCTGCCTTGCTGGAGGTGGCTCTGGAATTTCCTGTCATGTTTCCTTGTATACCTGAAAGCTAACAGCTGTGCCTCTCTTTTCGTACCAGGCCAACAAACAGCACAGCAGAGAGCTGTAAATAGAGCCGTTACCTGTACATTAGGTGTTTCTTTCCCATCCACCCAGGAAATACCTGAGGAGCCAGTCCAGTGAACACAGCCAAATCACAATCATCACAGCCAGAGAGGTAGAAGGGTATAAAAGTTGATTCTTATCTTCAGATTAACTCATCATAATCATGTACACTATGCAACGTAAAACAAAAAAGAAGCAAAATAGTGACTTAAGGAGGTTTTTCTAACAATACTTTATTTTATGTCAATAAAAATTACCCAATAAATATTTTTATTGATTTATTAAATAAATGATTTTTAAAACCAAAGCCAAACTGCTTCACTGTAACAAGTTCCCAGTGCAGAACATGTTATTATAGGTATGATAAATTCAATTATATAAAGTTCAATTTAACACACATACAGTTTGAGTATCTCTTTTTTATGATTTTTTTTAACTTTTACTGATTATTCATGGATTTCACATCATGCATTCTGACTCAACTTTTCTCCCCATCCCCTCGAATCTGCTATGTGCCTTGTAACCTCCCCCCAAAACAAAACAAAATGTAAAAGTAAAACCAAAACAAAAACAAAAAGGAGGAAAAGAATCTCATTGTGGAAGCTGTAGTGTGGTCCACTGAGTCACACAGTTTACTTTAGTCCATTCATTGTCACTTGCAAGTGTTGGCTAGCATTAGTCATGGGTCTGGCTCAATACCTCCGGCTTACTCTGGCTCTCTGTCATTGTCCTGAGTCATGGAGATCCTGCTGTTTTGGATCTATAGGTTCATCCCCTTCATATGTTCCAACAGTTCATAGATACGGTAGATGTTGGGGTAGGCTAACTCATAGCCCTGGTTCTGGGCCTGGGTGGTAGCTGGGTTGGACAGCCCACCAGCTCTCTCTCTCATCCTTACCACCAGGGTGAGCTCTCTCCAGCCCTGCCTTGGCTAGCTCACCCAATGCAGCCTGCAGCAAGGAGCAGGGCCAGTTTTCCTGCTCTCAGATCCTCAGATGTGGCTCACCCACACTTACACCACCAGGTCCATCTCTACTGTTTCGCCCAGGCAAGGTGCAGGACCCTCACTCCCAATTGCTGTAGGGAGTATAGGAGGGGTGTGGAGAGACGGAGTCAACTTTCCTGGCTCACACACTTAGGGCTGGCTCACCTGCACTCCTGACAACAGAGTCAGCTCTAGTGTGTGCAAAGCACACTCTTCTGTGCGCTGCAGCGGGTGAGGGTCAGGGCCAGCTCTCGTACCTGTTGTATGTATAACGGAGCAGGGGAGAAAGGGCATCTTTCCCTCACCTATGCCACCACAAGGCAGATGACAGAGAAGCAGGGAGGGTCAGCTCTCTTTCTCTCACACCCTCAGGTTAAGCTCAACTAAGTCCCTGACCACAGGGTCACGAGTAGAGTGCTGCCCAGATGAGGTGCAAGCCTATGGTGAGGAGTGGGAGCATCTGTCATGAGTCTGAAGGGCCAGCTCTCCTGCTACAGTATACAGCAAGGGCAGGTCCAGCAATCCCGGGGCCAGTGAAGAGTGGGGCCACGTCAGCATAGCATGCTTCCAATGACCCTCTGTGATAACCCAGGCCATGGGCATCATCACAGACCCCAGCTGCAGCAGGATCATGGACCCAGACATGGCCCTAGGCAGCACCTCAGGCCCTGATGCCACCATGGCCCCAAGTGGCAGCACAGGCCACCCAGATTAGTATGGCCTCGACAGCAGCATGATCTTCAGACACCAACATGGTCTCAGGTGGCTGACCAGACCATCATCATCCACACAGCCCCCCAGTGGTAACAGGAGCCACAGATATCAAATGAGACCCTGGCTGCCGTAGGGCTATGGACCCAGACATGGCCCTCGGCAGCAGCCCTGGTCCAGATACCTTGGCCCCAGGTGATGGTTGTGTCCACTCAAATTGGCAATGCCCTAGTGGCAGCATAGCACATGAACACCAACATGGTAACAGGTTGTGGCCTAGACACTGGGCATCCGTGTGGCCTTTGGTGGCAACATGGGCCATCAACACAGACCCTGGTTGTGGCAGGCCCTAGACCCAGACATGGTCCTAGACAGCAGCCTGGACCCAGCTGTCCCTATGGCCTCAGGTGGCAGCACAGGCCACCCAGATCTGCACAGTCCCACAGCATTGTGGCCCTTGGACACCAACAAGGCCCCAAGTGGCAGTCCTGAACATCTCTTAAAATCATAAGGTCAAGACATTGCTTTGGATAGTGAAAGAATAAATAAAAAGGGTACCATTATGTGCTTCATGGAGAAGAACAAACACAGTTAACAGAATCCAAGAAAAGTTATTGTTACTCTCAAGTGAACAAGGTAAATTCAATGTTATGTTAACAAGGAGAAAAAGAAGAACTAGAATCATTGACTAAAAATTTCAAAAACATACTGGAATGTTGGTGGTACATTTATAAAAACTTTTAAATCTTAAATATTTTGTAATTAAAGTTCATACATTTATAGAATTCTGGCATAGTAAATGATTACTCACTCACTAACCACAGGGATATCTAACCCAAATTCTGCACCAGTGTTCATGAGATACTTTCCAAGACCCCAACTGCTCCATAGGCCTTGGCCGTATAAACCAAAGGAAAACTGCTTGAAACTGAGGGTCACAAAAAACAACCTATGAGGTCTACATATAAGGAAGATCTGAGCCTGTGAGATGATGGATAAAAATCAGACCAAAAAAAAGGCAGCTAGGTTGGGTAGAGATTAAACAATCCACACTCCTTTTGGAATAGGAAATGACATCTCAAAAAGGCAAGAGACGCATCAGAGGAGAAAGGAAGCAAAGAGGCATTAGAAGAAAAAGAAAACAGCCGAGTTATGGCAAAGCTTGTACTTGACAAAGCAACTGACACCAAACTCTGAAGGAAGAGCAAGCTCACAAGACTTCCAGCCTTCATGCCAGACCCCAAGAACCCTGCCATGTGCTGAATAAGGGTCTTCCAGTTCTTACTCTGTTCACCTCCAAGGCTTTTTCCTACCACCCTGTGTGAATTTACGTCACCCGAGATAACCTTGAGACAACATGGAACTTACCTGAACCCTGCACTTCTGGAAAACAATGGCAGTCAAGAAGTCCCACCCACTCTTTTGAGTTCTGAGAGACTGCTAACTGTAAATCAACATTCTTCCTCTTGGCTTACAGAAAACTCACAGGTGACATCTTGTAGCCTCTGCTAAGGCTGACAGAGATAGTCCAAATTCCTATTCTATTGTCTTATACCTGAACTTTCTATCTCCATTTACCCAGGTTAAGTCTGGCTCATGGACTTCACCAAACTTAAGTCCATCCATCCTCTCTCCTTGTTCTAAACCCCTGAATTTTGAACCACTGTGATTATTGAAAAAGCACCACTCTCTAATGGCTCCTCCAGAAGGAGCCACCTGTCTAATCCCATCATTCCATTCCCCAAAACTTTCTGTACTTTTTTTTTTTACATCTTCCTGTAAAAGAAAGCCCTTTTTAGACACTTAAAGATCTTCTGAGTCAAATAGTTCTTCCTACTTCAATTCTCTTCAGCTCTCCAGGGCCACCATCCTCTTCCATTAAAGAGCCCGAGATTAAAGACTGCCTTTACCTAAGTCTAGACATGCTTTCATTTGATACTTTCAACCTACAAAGGGGGTTTAACTTTCTAAAGGACAAATCATAATTCTTTCTTATTAATATTTATCCTTATAGAATCACAATTGTTACATCCTTTTGATATATAACACAAGAAAACATATGAGACAAGAACAATATAAATAGCATGCTGTCATATTTCCTTCAATATTCAAAGAAGAAAATTATACACTGAAATATGCAAGTAAAATGCATTTTATAATAAAAATGAAAACTTACAAACAAGTGAGAATTTGAAATCAGATAATTTCTCCACATTTCTCTTTTGGCTGATATAATCTAATTGTATCTTTAGAACTTATTCAAAAGAAAGAAAAAGCTAGCTGAATTACTATTTCTCATTAACTCAAACATGAAACCAGTATTCATATAACTACTAAAATTCTGAAGAACTCTTTAAAATAGTTTGTTATTGCCGGGCGGCGGTGGTGCACGCCTTTAATCCCAGCACTCGGGAGGCAGAGGCAGGCGGATCTCTGTGAGTTCGAGGCCAGCCTGGGCTACCAAGTGAGTTCCAGGAAAGGCACAAAGCTACACAGAGAAACCCTGTCTCGAAAAACAAAAAAATAAATAATAAATAAAATAAAATAAAAAAGTTTGTTACTTCTCCAGTAGTCCAAGACTCTTAATCGGATATATAAAACAAATCCTCAATGTTTTTAAGCACGAAGAAAAAGATTTAAGGCATTTCTATACCCATACAGTATAGAAAATGTTTTGAAGTCATAAAGGCATAGCAAAGTAAATACAGAAAAGTGAACCACTCACCCGCATTGACTATTGCATCCACCTCTAGCAATGTGATGTCACCTCTGTAGAGAGAAACCTTTTCACTCAAACTTTTCTTCATTTGTGATGTTTCCTGAGTATTTTCTTCTGTAATAAAAAGAGATACATATTATCAGTAATAGTCCCAATTTAATCAACATCTTTTTGTGTATATGCATGTGTGCGCTCATGCTAAGGGGGTGCATTACCGTTCCGTGGTGCAAGTGTGGAGGTCACAGGACCACCTTAAGTGTCTGTTCTCACCTTCACCTTGTTTTGAAACAGGGTCCTACTACCACTGCATGTGCCAAGGTGGCTGGACCTCAACTTCTGGAGATCCTCCTATGGCTGCTCCCATCTTCCCATGGGAGCACTGGGCTCACAGGAACTCAAACACATCCGGCTATTTTATATGGGTTCTGGGGATTCAAACTCAGGGCCTCATGTTTGAATGACATGAGCTTTTACTCACTAAGCCATCTCTCCCAGCACTAACCAACTGCTTTCTAATCAGGACAACTATAAGAGCCAATATGAATCACAGAATTACAAACAAAAAATTTCAAATATGGTTAAGTACCAGGTGTGTGGTTTGTTCTCTATTTATATTCTATTTTCAATATAAATGCACTGGCTAGACCAGTGGTCAGTTGGGATTTTTGAGCAACGATGGGCAATGTCTTTGGTCATAAAAAAAATTAACATTATCAATTTTATTATGATACTATCATTTGAAGATGAAATTGCATTCTATTATATTCATAAGGCAACTACAGAAAGAAAACACTTTTCACAGTGAAGGAGCTCATTGCCACTTTTCCAGTTATTTAAAAGAACCCTTCAAAACATTTATTTAACCATATAGGTTCAACTCTTTGCTATATTTAAAAAGATGTCCCTCACGATAGGGCACCTCAAGGAGAAGATCTGAATTTGTGAAAATGCTCTTTTCTTTCCACATTGTATTTAACCTTTTGCCCTACAAGACAATGTTACTAGGCAAAAGAATAGCTCCATCCAACACACAGAGCCAGCAAGCTGTTCTAAAATCTGACACATTGTTACATACTTATACTTATTTGAATTGCCATTTTAAGACAAAGTAAACCCATTTAACATGAATGTCTTAAAATACATAAAGATTATGCATAAAAGTACTCTTATCATATTCTAAGAAAAACATTCATAAATTTAAACTTAAGTATTTATGAAATATGCACATCCTTTATGAAGAACTATAATGCTGTCCTGTAGAGAGAGGTATTTGCTCCACCCATGACCTTGGGCTATTCAGCCCAAAGGGGGCAGTGCTTCCTGCCATTGTATGTGACCTCTTATAAGGAGTTGGAGAAGGGTCACAAGCCCCTTCTCCCTACTCCTGCCTTTGAGGTGGATTCACTCCTGGTCAGTTCAGAGGACAACTTCAGCTGTCTACTCCCTTTTGTATTCATGAGTGTATTTCCTCAATTTATATCTTAATAAATTCTGTAACCCATTTAATAGACTCACATGGATTGATCACAATACTATCCACTCACTAAAACACTCTCAGATGAGCATGTAATTTTAAAGTAATTGGGAAATAAGAAGTGATAGGTTTTGAAGTACCTAAATTGTCTTTGGGACTGTCCTAGTTTGGTTTCTCTCTTGCTGTGATAAACACCATGACCAAAACCAACCTGGAAGAGGAAAGGTTTTATTTTCTCTTACAGTTACAGGCCACCACCAGGAAAAGTCAGGACAGGAACTCAAAGCAGAAACCTGGGGGGGGGGGGCAGGAACTGAAGCAGAGACTATGAAGGAACACTGATTAAGGCTTGCTTGCTTTCTCTGAATTGCTCAGCCGCTTTTATTAAACAGCCTGGGGCCCCTGCCCAGGAGTCACACTATTTACAGTGTATTTACAGTGGGCTGGGCCCTCCCACATCAATCAGCAATCAAAAAAAAAAAAAAAAAATACCCCCAAAGACATGCCCATAGGCTACTCTGATGCAGACAATTCAATTGAGATTCCTAATACAGCAAGACCCTGAGTTTCACATCCCATCAGTTACTGCTCTTAGGACTTTTAAATTTAAAAACCCAGCTTTGCTGTTAAAGTTCTCTGGACTACAAAAAAAAATTTTTTGATGATTTCTGCAGACCATCCTAAGTATCAGCATCAGTGAAAATCTATAAATTACAAGACTCCTCACTAAAGCTAAATGTCAGAACTGCAGTGGGTATTAAATTAGCAAGGATTTCACAAAAAAAAAAAAAAAAAAAAAAAAAAAAAAAAAAAAAAAATTTATTTGTGTTTGGGAGGTGAAAAATAAACTTATAAGCTATTCGCCACTTTTAAGAAATGGGTCTATAAATTAAGCCCCTATTTTTTCACAGAATATTTTGTATGCACCACTACACTTGTAGTGATGCTGTCAAGTTGCTAGATAATGGCAGGATTTGAGGACATTATGGTTGGACACCTCCTTCATAATTAATGGCGTATGAAACCAATGACTGAAAATGCAGGACTCTAAGTACTGGTCAGAGGAATGGAATGGGGCTTGAGTCCTGTCTCTAGCTGTCGGAGGAAACGTGACATTTTGAGGTGCACAGAATGGCATTAATAGCCATTTAAACTTGGTTCCAAGAGCCCCAAACTTTACAAGATCACTGTCTATCAAGAGGTTTTTGTGAAAAACAAACAAACAAACAAAAACCACAAAAAAACAAGGATATATATTGTATCATGTTGTGTCCATTCCTCCCCCCACCCTTATAAGAGACAATCCAAACTGACTTGTCAATCACCTGTACAGGAAAATGCTCCCCCAGGAAAAAGTTGTCAATTTTAGAGATTTTAAAGGCTATATTGAAAAAAAAGTATAAAGTCTGCCTAAAATCAAAAACTGGCACAATTCTCTCATGGACAGAATCATAGCTTCTGCCAATTCTTCTGGATCCTTTGACTTCTTCTCCTATCTGTGTCTATTTTACTTCCTTCTTAGTGTTATAGCTAAGACTGCAAGCACTATATTTAATAGGGATGAGGGGAATGGGCATCTTGTTAATGATGTTAGTGGGACTGTTTGGAGTTTTTCTCCATTTTTGCATGATTGCTATCAGTTTGTCATTTACTAAGTGGAGTTCAAGTCTCTCCATTTCTAGTTTCTCCAGGTCTTTCATTATGAAGGGGTGTTGGAGTCTGTCTTTCTGCATCTACAGAGATGATCATGTGATTTCTTTCCTGAGTTCACTTCTATGAAAATCATATATATTGACTTCCAAAAGTTGTAAATGATTGTATCCAGTATGAAGCCAATTTGATCAATCTGTTTTGATGTGTTATTGCATTCAGTTTGCAAGTATTATATTAAGAAACTTTGCATATATGTTCCAGCCTATAATTTTGTTGTTGTTGTTGTGTCTTTACCTGGTTTTAATATAAGGATAATGACAGTTTCTTAAAAGGTTGGAAATGCTCCTTCAATTCCTATTTCTATGAAATAATTTGTGAAGTATTGCTTTAAAGGCCTGGTAGAATTCTGTGCAAAATACATCTGGCCAGGAACAGTCTTTAGTTGGGAGATTTTTAATTGCTGCATCACCTTCATTGCTTGTTATAGATTTTTTTTTTTTTTTTTTTTTTTTTTTTTGGTTTTTCGAGACAGGGTTTCTCTGCGTAGCTTTGCGCCTTTCCTGGAGCTCACTTGGTAGCCCAGGCTGGCCTCGAACTCACAGAGATCCGCCTGGCTCTGCCTCCCGAGTGCTGGGATTAAAGGCGTGCGCCACCACCGCCCGGCTTATAGATTTTTTTTTTACTGCATCTTAATTTAATCTTAGTATGTTATATGAATCTATAAAAAACATTCATTTTAGATTTTCCAATTTAATGGTATAAATTTGAACTCCTGCCTGAATTTCTTGATATCTGTTGTGATAGTACACGTTCTGTTTCTAATATCATTAATTTGTAGCTTCTCTTTTGTCTTTGCATTAATTTTACTAAGTTTTTGTTTTTCCAATGTCTTGAGGCACATCATCAAATTATTTGAGAACTCTTATTTTTTTAAGGATTCATTTTACTAATTCTATTATTTGTATGTATGAGGGGTGCCCACAGAGGTCAGAAGAGGGCACTTGATCTCCTGGAACTAGAGTTGCCGGTGGTTGTAACCTGCTAGAAACCAAAGTCTGGTCCTCTTCAGGAACCGTAAGCACTTGTAACTGTAGAGCCATCTCTCTAGGTACTTGATTGTACTGAAAGCCACAAACTTCCCTCTTAGACTGCCTTCATTGTATCCTACAAGATTTATATACTGCATTTTCATTTTCATTTAATTCTTGGAATTTTTTAATTCCTTATTCCTTCAATGATTCATCCATCATTTATCAAGGTGTCATTTAGTCCCATGAGTCTGTACATTTCTATAGTTCCTCTTACTGTTGATTTCTAGCCTTACTCCACTGTGGTCAGATAAAATAATAGACATTATTCCAATTTTTCTATATTTGTGGATATTTGATTTGTGTCCTAATGTGATATACTCTAGAGAAAGTACTATGGATTTCTAAGAAGAATGTGTATTCTTTAGAGTTTGGGTAGACTTTTCTGTAGATGCCTAATATCATTTGATCCTTGATGTCATTTAATGCTTATTTGTTTGTTGGTTGGTTGGTTGTTGGGGGGAGGGGTCTGGTTGATCTAATTGGTGACAGTAGAGTATTAAGTTACTATACTATATATGAATTAATTCATGTCTTGTTATCTAGTAGAATGTGTTTTATGAAACTGGATGAACCTGTGCTCAGTGTGTTTATGTTTAGAATTATATCCACTTGGCAGATTGTTCCTTGATCAGTATGATGTGACCTTCTTTATCTATGCTGATAAAATCTGGGTTGAATTCAATTTTAAGAGATATCAGGATAGCACTGTTCATGTGCTTTTTGGTCTCATTTCCTTGCAAGACTTGTTTTTGTCCCATCCTTTTACCCTAAGATGCTGTTTTGATGGAAAGAAGTGTATATCTTGGAGACGGTAAAAAGAAAGACTCTGCTTTCTAATACAATCTTCTAGTTTATGTCCTTTGGTAAGTGAACTGCTGCTGTGGGATGTTCTGTAT